ACCCCTTGAGCCAAGGCCTTGAATTCTGCTTCTGCACTCGATCGTGCCACAACATTCTGCTTCTTGCTCCTCCATGTCACTAAATTTCCACCCAAGAACATGCAATATCCAGTAGTAGACCTCCGGTCAACACTTGACCTTGCATAGTCTGCATCTGTATAAATCTCCATAGACTAACAACACGTGTATCATGCATGCACTGACTAACAACACTAAAAAGATATGCTATATCAGGCCTTGTGTGAGAAAGATAAATGAGTTTTCCAACGAGTCTCTGATATTGAGTCTTCTCTACTTTTGGGCTCTCTTCATCACTCCCAATTCTGTAATTTTGCTCTATGGGTACTCCAGTGATTTTGCAGCCTAACTTACCAGTTTCTTTGAGAAGATCAAGGACATGTTTTCTTTGGGAAATGAAAATTCCTTGTTTTGAATACGCCATTTCCATGCCTAGGGAGTATTTGAGCTTTCCAAGGTCTTTCATTTCAAACTGAGCTGCCAACTCCTTTCTCAGAATCTGTTTTTCATTCTCATCATTCCTTGAGATGATCATATCGTCTACATAGACTAACAGAAGAGTGAATTTTCCATTTTTAGTGTGTTTTATAAAGAGGGTATGATCACCTTGACTTTGTTTATACCCGAGTGATACCATGGCCTGAGTAAACCTTCCAAACCATGTCCAGGGTGATTGATTGAGCCTGTATAGGACCTTCTTCAATCTGCAAACCATATTTCTCCCTGAAGTAGGGGCATACCCTGGCGGAATCTCCATATATACCTTTTCTTCTAAATCTCAATGCAAGAAAGCGTTTTTTACATCGAACTGCTGTAACTCCCAATCAAAGTGGGCTGCTAAGGATAAAACGATCCTTACTGTATTCATTTTTGCTACAGGAGCAAATGTATCTTCATAATCAATCCCATAAGTCTAGGTGAAACCCTTTGCTACCAACCTTGCCTTATACATGTCAAGTGTACCATCAGCCTACTGTTTTTTTTTTTCAACCATCTCCCAAATTTTATTCTTTTCTAGTGCATGCACCTCTTCATTCATGGCTTGAATCCAATTATTATCTTTTAAAGCTTCTTGTACTGATGCAGGGACTCTAATAGAGTCAATAGCTGAAAGAAAACTCTGGTGTTGGGCAGACAGATTTTTAGCACACACAAATTGAGATATAGGGTACTTGGTGCAAGATCGTTTTTTCTTTCTCAGCGCAATGGGCAGGTCATCGGGATTTGTCTCTAATATTTATTAGGCTCGGATTTAGGAGCACTTAAACACGAATTATTAGGATCAGGGTTGTGAGTACTTACCTCGGAGTCAGACAATTGGACTTGCTGATGGATTAGGATGGGTTTAGCTTTCCGTTGGTACTTTATACGGTACCTGTCATCATTATTGTTCACTGGTATTTGTGCAGAACCATTATAAGTAGCTTCACTGTCCTTAGGGGCAGAATAGGAAGTGAATTCAAGGGTTCATTTATTAAAGGAAGAATAGAAATTTCAGGGGACTCAACTTCTTGTTTACTCTCCCCCTGAACTTGAGAATTAGGATAAAAAGATTAAAAGTGACATGCATGGATATATAAACACGGCGACTAGAAGGATGATAACACTCATACTCCTTTTTATTTGGTGCATTTCCTATTAAGATACATTTAAGAGCCTTGAGTTCTAACTTACTTCGATGAGGACCATGGACGTGAACAATGCTCAACAAAAAACACGACCCTGGAAACTTGACATAGTGGGCACTGATGGAAATAAATTATTTATAAAATGCAATGTTCTAATAAGGCACTGGGCGCTAGTCGGGCGCCAGCCTAGCGCCTAGGCGGACGCCTAGTCGGGGACTAGTCGGAGACATAGAAATTATAGTTTTATCAATATTTTGCATAAATATGATGACTAATGTTGTGTTTGTGGTTGTAAAAAAATACACACACATACACATGAACATGCATGAGTTATAGAGTTGTCAGTTATCACCTAAATACCTAGTTGATATAATCTTTAAACGAATAAAGGACAATGCTATATCATTCAAATAAACTCCCGTCGTTCAATACATACGTAAACAATTCACACAATGCCAAATAATGGTGTAAGAAAAAGAACAAATAGCAAGTAAGTTTGAATCTGACTCTTTATTTCAGTTGAAATTGACTGATTAACTTCGACTCCTTATAACGTTTCCATTTGGTCAAACTATTAACACAATCTTGAAATCATATTGTATTGGAAAATTGATAACTGATAGCGTAATATCCTCAAAATCCTCTTAATGATGCAACACATTGATTAAATGATGGACTTGATTTATTTATAAGTTTGAATTTGTCTCCATACTTTTGCTTCTCCAGACGTTTTAGTTTCGTAAAATCCTTGGTGAAAATAAACTTGATTTCTATTTGTAGTAATGAAAAGGGTACATTTTATCAGTGCACGGATCCCCAAAATATGTGCCAACGTAGTTTTATATATGAGCTATTCGGCACATAGTCGTAGCAAAAACACATTCCAAGCATTCACACACTAGGAAACGCTTATAACTACTATGGCATTTCCTTAAAGAACACTTAACATATCAGTCTAAACAATTGGGTTATACGAAGAACCTACGTCTGATCATACTTAGAATTTTAGACTTGCTAGAATGCTAGGCGCTAAATTAAGTGAGTCCCATTTAGCGCATTTGCAAAAGAGGTTATTTTAAAGATTACCTTTTTATCCAAGACAAGCCACTCATTAGTTGAATCATCATGAACAGTCCCTCCCATAACTAAATTTGTGGTTTGTCCAACCCTTCTACCTTTGACACTTCTGCGACCCATCAATACTCAGTCTACATTCATGAAAAGAACATATTGAAAATATTCAAACAACAGAGAGATAAAACAAAAACTATAAATACCAAATTAAAAGGGAGTGGACGGAAGCCCAGGGAAGGGGTGATATCTACTTTTTAATGTATTCAGCCCAGGGAAGGGGTGATATCTACTTTTTAATATATTCATACATTAAATAGTTGAACAAGAATGAAGATGAAAAATTATATAGAAATACTTGATCTAAGTTATCTAACTAAACATATTGTTGATCCTAGTCTACTAAATATAGAAAAATTAGTAACACAAAAATAAATCATCCCCTCACTCCACCTCCAAAATTCCAAAGCCAAATTCACCAATCCATGTTTACCCCCTCAGTGGTTTACCTCAGGCAATCAAATATATTTCTCTAGGGGTCGATTTAGAACTCGGACAAAGATAGAGAAAGAAATAGATAGGAAATTGAATAGAAACGGTAGAAGGCAAAAAATATGAGAGAGTAAAAAGTTGCTTCAAAGTTAAAACTCTAAATATGCTATAGATATTTGTTCAAGCTCATTTTATTTAGATATTTCTAGTATATAAAGACTAAGAAAGCTACATATATACAAAATTATAAACTTATAAAGAACCTTACAGAGTATTAAAATTTAAACTTTCCTTTGAATTTTACAGGTAAAACAAAACATTAGGTCAAATTTAGCTGTCAATTTTAGTTTTTTTTTGTTTTATGATTTTGAAAGGTTTATGTTGTATGTTGTATAATGAACTAAATAAATCATACATATTCTATAATTTCAAAACTTTTTTTTAGTTTCCCAAAAATGAACACAAGAATATCACAAAAGACACTGGTAAGTCCTAGGAAATTATTTCATTGTTACCATTTTTCCTTTCACTGCCATTCTCCAAAATCCAACCATAGAAGATTTGTTACTTAAATTCCATTTGTTTAATATTCAGTGCTGTTTTGGTTTTTGGATTTGAAATAATTGTTCCACAAATAACTCATTTGGTAAATTCAAGAGATCATGTAATGCCAACTTTAAACTTTTTCCGCCTCTTCACAATTCAAAATTCAACCAATAATAGTTTAAGTATAACATCACTCTTTTTGCAAGGTTACAGACCAATAAGGTCATCTAATCAGTCTTTGTCCAAGTGTATAATCATTACAATTGGCACAAAATTAATTACTATGAAAACGGATGAATTATGCAGCTAATTGCAAGCACATTGATAAGTGAATGAGGGAGTCCAGAAAGTTCAGGGAATGGTAAGTGTTTCTCAAACTTTACTCCAATTTGTCCCGCCATGTCTCCACAGCCTCCTCCAATTGGGGTAAATTTAAGAAATCTTTTACCATTCTCAGAATTTTCTTACCCTGAACATATATCATTATCCTAATTACGATCATTGCCAATCATCTTTTTCCATATTTCTGATTTTCACCTAAAGAGAGCTCGGGACTTTATTGCTCAATATAATGAGCCGATTCACCTAAAGACACTGGAAATCAGATAAAGAACAATTGAATTAAGACTAAAATTGAACCTGAAATTGCCTTGAGAACAGCTTCTTGCGGGGGATTCGGATTGCAGTCATCCTGTAATGAAGAGCGGACTTCGTTAGCGGAGTAGTTGAGATTATGGGTCATAGAGAATAGGAGATCGTTTCGGGCCACGGGCCGAGTGTTGATTCCGACCCGGGAAGAATGAAGGAGAGAGGGATCGGTTTCGAGGGAAGGGTCGCCATCGACATCGGGTTTGCAGCAAAAGTGACTATTCCTGATAATATAAACATTCGTCTTTGAAGTTTGAATATTATCGAGATGTGATTCTTTTGGCAAAATCAATGGTTCCTCTAATTTCTGGGAGAAAATTGCCGCATGTAGGATCAAATCATACTACTTTTACAAAATATGACTGCCTATTTTGAAAAACTCAATTATTAGTTTCCAAATTTGCTCCTTCAGGCTTCAGCTAATTACGCAAGGAAAATAACTTACACGCTAAGAATAACGACTTGAACATTCTGTTCACCTGCTTTCCTTCTTCCGAATAACGGTCATGGTGCTTTCATTCTTCTGAATTGTGTTGTCGGTGTCTTGCTTTCGTTCTTCATTCACGTTCGTCACCCCTTGAAGTTGAATTGGACTTCGAACTACCGCATAAGCTCTACAAATGCCGGCGAATTCCACATACGGAATAATAATTGAATTTCTCTTCTAGCATTCATCTTCAAAAATATGGTGAGTTGTTATCGATGAAATTTTTACAGTTTCATTCCAATCTTGATTATAAACGAAAATTGTTTATACTAAGGTCCTCAAATTTTCAATATGAAGACCTTCTCTCTATTCTTCCCATGGTACACTTATTTTAATTGTATACCTGCCTTTTGTATTTTCCTCTTTTCTTTGTTCAATTAGTCTGGATATGATATTTAATTAAATGATTGTGGATTCTACATCTATAAGATCACTCTTGCTTAGTTCATACACTATGTAATGAATGTATTTGTTCTGTTATTTCGTTTTTGTTGCACAGGTGTTCATTTTTGACTAGTTAATTACAACTCGTTTTTGTTTCTGTTTTGCCTAGTTCATACACTATACAATTTGTTTCTGTTTTTAGTAGTTCATACACTATACAATTGGAGATATTATGTTTGTTATTTGCAGTTTTTAATATCACATTTATTAATATTAGTTTATTAGTCATTTTTTTATGTTGCTAATATCATATTGTTGTTTCTCCTTTTATGTATTTACAGTGATGGTAAACATGTTGCTTATGCTTAAGGCGGATGGTAGTTGGGACAACTCATACCTTTTCTCTAACAAACGATGTTTTGGCTTAATAGTACCTGAGGGGACATTATATAATGACTTTACTTCTATGGTTTATTCATGCATTGATGAATCTGTTACCAATACAAGGCTTAAGATTCCATACCTTGTAGATGCATGTCCACCTCCTATGCTTGTTAATGACGATTCTAGCTTGGGATTTTACTTGGTTTTAAAAAAAATGACAGTGTCTATGATAAGTTTCCTTTGTGTATTGAATTGTTTATTGTTAATTCTTGTGTTAATCAACCAATGTCATGTAGGGATTCTGCATTTGTTGTCAATGTTTCTTCCAAGTCACTAACGATTAATGTCCTACAACAAGACATGTCTGCCAATTTTCTTTCAATTGATCTCAATGTAGCTGCCTGCCAATTTTCTTTCAATTGATCTCAATGTAGCTGCCACTGCTTCACTTGATCTCAATGTTTCTACTGATTTTAATCAGTCCATGACTTTGGAAGTTACACATCCATCTTCTAATGAAGTCTCAGTTTCAGGTTGTCCTTTTGATCTTTTAAAACGTGATTTAATAGTTTCTAGGAGTTCTGGTGATACTTCATCAAGTTAAGTTGTTAGTTAGGATTCAATGGTCATTTGGATTCATTTTTCGTGGTTCCTGATTTTGAAGTTATTTCTCACTTCCATCCAACTCATATAGCCAGAGATGCCATATACAAAACTAAAAAGGCTTTAGATTACCATTTAAAGGGTTTTTGCCATTTCAAACCATTTTCAATATAAGAACAAAACGTCAACCAAGAAAGTATTGCATGTTATTTGTGTTGATGTTGAGAAATGCAAGTGGGCTGTTCGTGGAGTGAAATTGTCTGGAAGTAACATGTTCCAAATTAAAAGGTATTTGTTTTATGTGTTTGTATTTTTTCTTTATGGACTAGTTATTGTCTACTTATTGTCTATTTAATGTCATTTAATATATTGCAGGTTCGACTCTGATCATACATGTTCCATTGATTTTAGGCAAGGTCGACATCGTCAAGCCACATCTGATGTTATTGTAGAGCTTATTAAACACCGATATGCAGATGCATCTCGAAAATCGTATGCTCCTATTGACATTATTGTGGACATGAACAGAGATTATGGTGTGACGCTTCCTTACAAAAAAACATGGAATGCGAATAAAAAGGCTCAAAAAATTAATGGGGTCAGATTATGGCGCATGTTCTGGAACAAAAAAAAATCATGCTCAAAGATCTCACTTATTATTGATTATCATGATCATTTTAAGTATTTCTTCATGTCATTGCACCCATGATTTGAAGGCTGGAAACATTGTGTCCCAGTCATTATTATTGATGGTTCTTTCATGAAGTGTTATTATAAAGGCACCTTATTAACTGCATGCGCTCAGGACGCTAATGACCATATATTCCCGTTGGCGTTTGGTTTGTGTGACACTGAACTTCAACTTGTTTTGATGTATTAGTTTGGTCGAACCATTGACGAGATCTTAAAATCATAATCTTGTACTATCTTGGTAGTCCTTCTAATGTGTCAGTATAACACGTACTATAACATATTTGGTGTGTAGCATATAATGGGCACGCAACTATTTTTTACCCGAAGAAGTATGATGTCGAACCATAGAGAAGCGGGAAGTAAAATAGTTAAGCACAAACTAAGGATTAAATTTGAGAATGTGTGTTTTTTTTTTTTTGGAAAAGTAATGAAATAAAAGTGATTGTGATAAGAGAGTTTTATCAACACAAAGCTCAACCAATAGAAAGTAGGGGTAGAAATTGGTAACTAATTGTTCAATGCTCAATTGAAAGACATAATTGCTAACTTTATTCTTAGATAGATTGTGAGGAGCTGTAGATATATATTTTAGGACGCAACACAGGTCATCTAAAATAAGTAACTAGTCAACATTTTCCGGTGATTGCCGAAACGAGACTAGTTGTTTAAGTGCAACGACGACCTTAATTATTAAATATATTGTTTACCCAACCCCGTGGTTTAAATAATATAAGTAAATAATTAAATTCTTCCGTAAAACTTCAATCTGGAACAAGGTAAAAGAAGTTTAATGGTGTGTTCAGAAAGTGTTCATTTGTGTATTTAACAAACAATATGTTTACGATTGAGTATTCATAATATATATATATATATATATATCACAAACACAACATAATTAATTTTCTGGACAAAACAATCTAAATAGAACAAACTTAACAATTAAAATCAATGCAAATTAAAACATGATAAGAACAATTAATTAACCAATTTCCAGCCCCAATTTTATTTAGTTATACATGTTTGGAAGCATAGAAATAGATGAATCCACGATTAAAGTACAAGATTTAATGAGATAAGGAAGATCAAACTTGTGATAGATGAATTGGCAAGAGCAAATTGGCGAGCGCAAGAAGGATGGGGTTTTCAGACGAATTTTCCGGGGGTTGAAATTCACTTTTACCATGCTACAGCAACTCGCCCTCCTCCGGGACCACCTTCGTGCGAGGTAGCAATTTGGGGAACGTTTTTATTCTCGTATTATTTTTCCTCTCGCAGTACTTAAATTATTGTTATTTCAATTCGAGCAAATATGGTTGGAGCATTTTGATTTTCGAAGAACTTTTGATGGGCAATATTTAATTTTCGGTCGTTTTAGGCTTCTTCTTGTCAGTTTTGTGTCTAGTGAGTCAGGTTGCTTTGTATGAGTGGCTGACTCTAAGTCTATTCCTAAGGGTTATGATCAGATCTGTAATTTTGGATTTTGTCTTGCATGTTTGCTCTATATTAATGAAAAGCCGTTTTGATGATAAAAAAAAACTTGTGATAGATGACAATATTTGGAGCTTTAGTGCTAATCTTGACTTAATCTTGGATAAGGAAGTGATTAGTTGTGGTTGAAGATGGGTTGATGATTTGGGGTTGAGAAATGAAGTGAGAAGGAGGAAATGTTTTTAAGATGTGTAAAGAGATAATGGTTTAAAGTTATTATGTGGAGAAGGATTAAGGCAATATAATGATAAGGTGATAAGGATTAAGGATTAGACTTTGCGAGGTTGCGTAAGTGATGGTTTATATACTAAGGGTTGGTTTGCAACTGCTTTTAAAAAGCACTTCTCAGCTTCTGGCTTTTAAAAAGCACTTATTTTCCCAAACACTACAACTTTTATTTTTCTCGGCTTCCGCGTCAAAAGTGCTTTTACTTTTTCTATTACACAAAAGCACTTATTTTACCAAACACTACCCACTTTTACTTTTCAAAATCACTTTTTTCTCAAACACTATCAACTTTTATTTAATCACTTCTCCCCATTTCATTTAAAAAAATACTTTTTTAAAAGTAGAAGCTGTTGCAAACAGACCCTAAGAGGCGTAACAAAATGCTAACGAGTGAGTTTGTTGTTGCGGGAATTGGTATTCTGGGCATTCGAAAAACGATTAAGGATTACCCAACCCCGTGGCATTCTGTTGCTAACGAGTGGGTTCGATCCCGTTCCCTATACTTTTTTCTCTCATTTTATCCTTCTGCAGTGAGAAGTAATGAATACAAAATTCCAGTATAAACATTCAACTTGACACATTGGCTCATTTCAAACATCATCTTCACCACATGTTCATGGTTCGAATCCCATCACCCTCTTATTCACATTTTGCTTATTTTCTTCAATTTACTCCTTATTTGTATTGAAGGAAATTCCATTTTAATTGACTTCCAATTTGAACTTTTATTTTCTTCTTTTCTTTATGCACAAATGATCAAAATAGCATCAAAAGTATTTGAAAATACAAAATACCCATGTAGGACTGCACAAGTACAAACTTACGACAAATAATAAAAATATGTACAAAAGTAGAACTTTAATATATAACTAAAATTCAAAAACAAACTAAGCCTAAAAAACTTGTAAAATACAAGCACATCAATATCGAATGGTAAACACTTTTTATTAGGTCTAGTATTTGCTTATTAGTGGTATCAATTTTGGCACGAATCTTTATCAAAGATTTTGTACGAACTATATGTATCTAAAAACGTATTTGGTAGAGAAAATTATTTTTTAGTGGTATCATTTTGGCACGAACTTCACACGGTTTTGGCACGAGTTTGATAGTAAACATCATTTAAGAAAATTACCTACTAAAGAATTTTATACTTGTGTTGCAACAAAAAAAAAGAATAGTATACTTGTATATTAAATACGAAGTATATTATGACCTAAATATCTAATCGATAGCATCTTTGAACGAATAATTTTTATTCGTTCAATCGGGTCTTTTTTATATGATGTTTTTACTGATGATAAGTTCTAAACAAGACTAATACAAAAATACAAATGCATCTATTCAAATGCCATCATTGTTGTTTATTTATCAAAAAATACACTTTGACTTAACAATGGAAATTAACAAAATATTTTCAAAAAAAAATTGAAATTAACAAAATAAATTCTATCTACACTTCCTGCGGAGTATTATACGGAGTAGAAAATTAGGAGCATATGTACACATAGATAAGCCGTTTCACTTGCTAAGTGTTCTTCATCCTTTGACAAACAAAATCCATCCACAAATTCAGACGTAGAACGGGATGAGAACAAAACGAGGACGGCTTTCGTTTCCGGGGCTGGACATTGCCGCAGATAAACCTGTCGTCAGGAAAAGAACTATAGCCGTTCCCATCGGAGAACCCGCCGCTGGCCGGAAAAGCCAGAGACATCAGTCAACGGGAAGGACCCCGAAAGTTGACTGCTTTGACTGCTTTCCGGGCGACATCGTCCTCTCTGTTCTCTCCAAGCTCTCTTCTTCTGCAGATTCATCTGCAGACTTCTTCTACGTTCTGATCACATACGATTGATTAATCTCATTCATTAATAAAGATTCAAAAAGATGGTTTTATTTTTTGTTTTTTTAATGATTCTTTGATTTGGGATTCGGATTGCAGATGCAAGAGATTCAACGGGTTAGGATTCCACCCAATAGTGTTATCCGCCGCTTCTCTGAAAATGCTGGCCGTCAAAGCTGCGAGCTGGACCGAGTCAAATCACCGGTTCCTCAAGCTCTGTTATGATGCCGGAAATGTCGAAGCTTGCTACATGCTGGGCATGGTCAGTTGACTCGGTCAACTGAATTAAAGAGCCATGTGATTAAAAGAAAAGGGATAGGCACGAACCTTAATCAAAAAATTTGTACGAACTATATGCACCTTGTGTATTTGGTCGAGATTTTGGCACGAACTTCACACGATTTTGGCACGGGTTTGGTCTTAAACATCATTTAAGAAAAATTAATTACCAAAGAATTTTATACATGTATCCTTAAGAAAATTTTGATGAATATATAAATCACCTGCATGCATCTTATGATTAATAATACAAAAAATTAATGGGCTTGGCACGAATCTTTATCATGGATTTTGCACGAACTATATGTATCAAAACGTATTTGGTAGAGATTATGGCACACATTTCACACGGTTTTGGCACGGGTTTGGTAATAAACATCATTTAAGAAAATTACCTACTAAAGAATATTATACTTGTGTTGCAAAAAAATATATATACTTGTATATTAAATACGAAGTATATTATGACCTAAATATCTAATCGATAACATCTTTGAATGAATAATTTTTATTCGTTCAATCGGGTCTATCTTTAGATGGAATAATTTTTATCGTTCAGGAGACTCTAAGGATATGGTGTTTTTACCTATGATGATAAGTTCTAAAGAAGACTAATACAAAAATACAAATGCATCTATTCAAATGCCATCATTGTTGTTTATTTATCCAAAAATACACTTTGACTTAACAAATGAAATTAACAAAATATTTTCAAAATATTTGAAATTAACAAAATAAATTTTACACTTCCTACAGAGTATTATACGGAGTAGAAAATTAGGAGCATATGTACACATATATAAGTCGTTTCACTTGCTAAGTGTTCTTCATCCCTTAGAAACAAAACCCATCCACATATTCAGAAGTAGAGCAGGATGAGAACAAACCGAGGACTACTTTCGTTTCCAGGAGTTAACGTTGTCGGAGATAAAAGGACTTTAAGAGTGGCGGAACTAGAAATTAATTTAAGTGGAGAACAATAGTATTACTAAATGTAAACCATCAAATTGTTAATAACATTATGGTAACAACTAACAAGCAATATCAAAACATATTTGGTAGAGATTTCGCACGAATGTCACACGGATGTGGCACGGATGTGGCAGTAAACATCATTTATGAAATATAATTACTAATGAATTTATACTTGTATTATTAAGAAATATTTGTTGTGAGTATATAAATAAATTATCAAGTTCCTAGAGCAACGCCGCCGCCAGGTAATTTCCGATTTCGATCTCCCTTGATCGAAGTTCGGTCTTGTTTCGGTAGTCTGGCCGCGGCTCGGTTGGTGTAAC